CCAGGGCCTGGTTCTACACCAAGCTGTCAGGTGTAGAGCTCTCATCCCAGGGTGGTGGATCGGGCCTACTTATAAGACATCCTCCTCCAGTGGGAGAGTCTTGTGTATTCCCTTCACCAGGCTCCACAGCAGTGGAAACCATACCCATCTCAGGCAACAGGGTGCAAGAAGTATGCAGGTGGTTTTGTCTGCCTTCAGTTTGGCCACTGCTTTCTGAAGAATACCAAATGGGGGGAATGCATAAAACAGGTGCCCATACCAGTGCAACTGGAAGGCATCGCCAAGTGAATTGCGATTCAAAAACAGTGGTATTTGGTGTTGACAGTGGTTGCAAACAGATCTATTTCGGGGAATCACCATTCATGTAAGATCGGAGAAAGATAATAGTCAGTGACCAACCACTCCCGAGTCATGGTTACATCTCTGCTTAGAATGTCTGCTTTGTGTTGCCCTGAAATGTGTATGGCTGTTAGATGTACTCCGTGTCTTATTCCCCAGTGTCAGATCTGAAACACCTCTGTACATAGGATGATGGACCCTGTGCCCCCTTGCTTGTTTATACAAAATTTGGCAGTCATGTTGTCTATAGCCAGTAGTACTCACTGACCCTGTAGTAATTTTGTAAAAGAACTAAGAGCATTCCTTATAGCCCTAAGCTCTAACAGACTGATGTGCAATTTTGATTCAGGTTTTGACCATAGGCCTTTAGCCATATGAACCCCACAGTACACTCCCAACCTGTTAAGGAAGCATCCATAAAGACCTGTACATCATGTGAACAAAATTCCCTTAAGTAGATGAGGAAACTTAGTCCACCAGTGAAGGGTCCTAAAACTAGTTCTGGGGATTGAGAGCTTCTTCCATGGTGGATCTAAGCCTGGGTGAAACACCCAAAGGAACCAGTTTTGGAGTGGTCTCATGAAGAACCTTGTGTGAGGTGTCACTGCTATAGTAGATGCCATATAACCTAGCAATTTCTGAATGTTTTTGGCTGACTGAAATTTGATAGCCAAGAATTTCTGGACCAGTGCTACAATGGCGTTCACTCTCGATAATGGTAGGAATGCTCCTCCTCTTATCACATCAATCCTAGCCCCTATGAAACTCTATGGATTGAGTGGGAGAAAGGTGAGATTTCTCCTCATTAAAAAGGAAACCCAGATCGTTTAGGGTTTGCAGAGCGTAATCCAAATTTCCTTCTAGGGTTTGAGGTGAGTTGGCCATGAAGAGCGTTTCATTAAGTTACGGATAAATGGTGCATCCTTGAAGTCTCAGATAAGAGACCACCACTGATGTGCACTTGGTAAAAACGCGTACTGGTGTGGCTAGCCTGAACGGCAAAACCATATATTTATACATGTTGTCCTCATGTATTTTCTAAAGGCTCTATGAATTGCTATATGGAAGCAGGCATCCTTGAGGTCAAGAACTGTGAACCATAGAACCTCTTTTAGTAAGGGGAGAACTTCCTGCAGGGATAGCATTCGAAACTTTTGTCATGTGTGATTATTCAGGGCTCTAAGGTCCAAGATTGGCCTCTTCCCACCCCCTTTTTTGTCTATTTTGAAGTAACTGGGAAAAACCCTATACCGCCTGAGTTTGGGGCAACCATTGTGATAGCACCTTTCTTCTGTAGTGAAGAAACCTCTTGTGCCAGAAAAGCTGAGGACTGTGTGGCGGACAGGTGGGTGATATGGAGGCAAAGATTGGAACTCCAAAAAGTAACCTGTCTTTATTATCGACAACACTCAGGTATCAATAGTAATTTTAGACCAAACATCGGAAAACGTGGACAACCTGTCCAAAAAGAATGCCTCACTTGCTAGTTAGGGCATCCTGGAACTCCTAGGTTGCTGATCCCTGGAGGAATGAGAGGATTGCTTATTTCTATTTTTATTCTGCCTCCTATCCTGAGACTGCTGGGGGTAGGCAGACTGAAGGACTGCTGGGATGATGGTGGGGCCTGGTACCTATACTCTGAGTTCTGAAAGGGTCTGGAGTAATGAAAGCTTTCGAAATGTCTTGGCTAATACCTCTGCTTATATGGTTGAGAAGTAGTGGGAGTGATCCCCAACGACTTTGCTGTGATCTTATACTTGCGGATGTGCTCTAAGACTTCATCCATTTCGTCTCTGAAGAGCTCCCTACCCTCAATGGGGAGATCTTTTTTGGCACTGGTGTCTTGTGGGAGGGCTGAGGCTCTCAGCTAGAAGTACCTCCTTATAACAACCCCTTAAGTGATTGCCCTGCTGTGGCAGTCCGCCACATGCCTAGCTGCATCCAATTGCTGTTTTCCTAGCTTTTGGCCTTCTTGCATCAAAACCTTAGCCAAAGGCCTCTTGTCATCTGGGATTACAAGAGAGTCGTTACCGGCTAAATATCAGGAGAAACGTCCTCACTGTAAGAGTAATTGAGCAGTGGAACAGACTGCCTTGGGAGGTGGTGGATGCTCCTTCGCTGGACGTTTTCAAGCAGAGGCTGGACGACCATCTTTCGGGTATGTTGTAGGGCTATCTTTCGGCTATGCTCCTGCAGAGTGCAGGGGGTTGGACTAGATGACCTGCAAGTTCCCTTCCAGCTCTAACATTCTATGATTCTATGATTAAGTCAATAAACTATGACATCCTGCCCTGCCCTGGATAGTCCAGGCAAGCCTGAACCCATCAGATCTCAGGAACTAAGCAGGGTTGACTCTGGCAAGTACTTGAAAGGGAAACCTCCTTGAAACACCAGCAAGTTGGGAGGACAGGGGCAGGCTTTATTCAGCTGCCTCTCTGGATATCCTCCAGGCCCCCAGTGGAGGTCAGCTACCAGAGGTCACCATGACTTCCAGGTGCACACACATGCACACATGTGCACACACACATTCACGTATGAATAAAATACAAAACAAATTAACTGTGACATCATATGCCACAGAAGCATTTCAAACTGGCCTATTATGGCTGTAAAATTCACCACCCATAGTCCCATTGCCCCTGATGAGTAGACTTTCCAGCTGAAACCTGCAGCATTCTTTGTCCACTGGTGCGGAATGAGTACCAGATTGTTCTCTAGCTGGAAGGACCTCAGAGACCAGGGAACTGGCTTTTGAATAATGAAAAAGATACACACAACCTTCTTCTTTGACCTTGTATAAATTTCCAAGCTTCTTTGCGGAGGATATATTGGAAGCTGGTTTGGACCAAGCACTCATAGAATTTTCCTGTATGCCTTGAAGCAGTGGTAGAGCCACAGGTCCAGATTCTGGGTTGTAGAGGACCTTCATTATTGGGTCCAAAGTCTGGGTTTCCATATTCCAGATTCGGGGCCTTAGCTATTTGAATAATTTGTTCGGCATGCAGTTTTAAGTCTTCTTTAGGTGACGGAGTTGAAGGCTTGCCAACCGTGTCATCTGGTGAAGGTATAGCTACGTCTTCTGATTCAGATTCTGAACATTGGTCCATGCAATCCTCCAAGTCAAAAAATTGTGAAGTTGTGTTGATGGCAGAGCCTTGTTTGCCAGTGGAGTATTTTGAGCTACTGTCCTCTGAGGACTGAGAAGCGGGATGCCATGGAAGGGTTGGAAATTGTTGTTGCTGATCCAATGAGCCCCACTGTGTGGGGAACATCATTAGAAAAATGTAATTAGTTAATGAATAATTGATGGATACATTGAATGGTGGACTCTCTGAACTACGATGAACGCCAGCGTTGATGTATATTTATGAAACCATAATAAAATCAAAATTATGAGAAAAGGGGAACCAGAGACTATTTTGTGGTGGTCCTTGGTTTCGGAGAGAGGTCAGTGTTGATCGGTATCAGTGACGTTTGCCATTGAAGTGATATCGATTTTCAATCAGTCGGTGATGATGCTGAGTTCCAAGAAACGGTGCGGGGGTGATGATGGTCAGATGACTCACGTTGACCTTGAGGGAAAAGAGAGGTTTGACATAAGGGCAACAGGGATTGTGGGCACCGAGGCGAAGATTGGTGTCAAGGCAAGGGTGAGTGGCATGGCATATATGCTTTGCCTTTTTCTTGGATTTGTTTGATAGCGACACTGAGGCCAACTGAGTCACAGTTGATTTTTCTGCCAGTTCCAGCATTAAGGGGGTTGATACCCCCTTAATCGGGCCCTCATTCTTTTTTCTAGGGTCGGCCATTTTTCTGAAATCCATTGTGGGTTCCCTATAGCTTTCTCCCACAAAGCTGCTTTAGGTTTAGCTTCTCTCTCTTTTCTAGCTTTTGGTGTGAGGCAGTGGTAGGCCAGGCATAATAGGCACAATTTGTGCTCGTCATTTTGAGCCATTTTGGCTCCACATTCCTTGCACTTTTTGAAAATCGCCATCCTACCCTTCTTTGTCCAAAGTGTGAAGGAAATCCTGTCTGAAGAAATGTAAGTTGCCATGTAACTGTTCATTAAGGATCGTGCTTTCTTTATGGTGGCAAGAAGAGAGCTGAGGGAAGAGTGCTTGCCCCTCCCCTGTCATGTGATCCTTTGGGCAGGAAAGGATATGCCAAAGACAGAGTGGAGGGAGAGCACTCTTGGGCTCTAGAAACTTCTCTATAGAGCTTGCTACCTCCTTTCCATGGCTGGCCTGTGAAAGTGCAGTCCCCCATGTGGTATTGCACATAAGCCATGGAGATGAAAAAGGAAATAAGGCTATGGGGGCTTTCAGGAAAGGGAAGGGAAAGAGGATGTAGTGAGGAAGGGGGAAATGAGACACCCCGCACAAGTCCTTGTGGGTCCTCTACTTTCTAAAGGAGTTGCATGAACAGCACAAGCATCGTTTTTACTTCTGTCTGCACATTCAAGGCTAGGATCTGGTGCACTCTGTGTAACGGAACCACAGGTGATGAATATGTTCTGTGTCACCAGCTGGAAAAGAATCCTCTACACATCCAGGATCTTTCATGAATGCAGCATTTAAAAATATCTAATCTGGACTTTTCTCTTTTTTTTGTTTGAAACTTCATGCATAAGACTTCTCAGTATAAAGGAATATTGTACGAACCAATGGACCTCTAGTTCCTCTTGAACCCTTTGGACCAATTTCTCCAACATGGCCATGGTCACCTGTGACTCCGGTCTCTCCTGGGGGACCAAGTTGACCCTTTTCCCCCTATTTGGGAGTAGGGCAAGGCAAAAACAATAGAATAACATTAAACTGTTGTGCAAAAAGCATGGAAAACCAGTATAGATGCAACACTTATATTAGTGTTCTTTTTTTAAAACAAGCATTTCATTTACTAATGAATAATGCAGATTCTTCAGAACAAATTCCAGCAGAAGTATGAAGATAAATTACCTTTTTTCCTGGACGGCCCCTCTGACCTGGACTTCCTGGAGCTCCTTCAGGCCCCTGTAGTATTTGTCATGAGGGAAAACACTTCTGAGAATATGTTTAACTTGTAATATAAATTGCATAGTCATAGCAAGGCTTTTAAAGATTACAAATGGTGTGGTGGGAAACTCTTGTTAAGTTTAGTCTTGAAGAAGTTAGCGTGACAATTCCATGCTATAGCACAATGATGTCATCTTTAGAATGATTTTATGAAGCCAGTGGAAATGCAGCAAAACATAACATGTCTGGGCAGAAAATAACAGCTGAAGATTAAAATATATTTTGTGCTGAAGTCAAACACTTCATCTAGCTCCATATGGTATTTGAGCCCAGAAAAAGTGAAGTAGGATATTCGGAATCCAGGCCAGAACACGCTCCCTACTGAATTGAAAGTAGATACGTTTGTATACCTTTAGGTCCTGACAGCAAGTTTAGATAAGCAAGATAGCAACTAGTTAGAAAAACCCACTGAAGCAGAAACATGTCCAGCTTTTATGTTGCCTACTGAGCAATTCAGGCCATATTAAAACACCCCAAACACCCCCCACAACTATTAAATGGGGAAAGGAGAACAAGGCTGATTCTATGTGAGGAATTTTCCCTGTATGGACAGCAGAGTGACCCCATATTTAAAGGGAACATCAACATGACATCATGCTCATTTTGATCATGACTCATGCAGTTTCCTTTAAAATCAAATTAAAATGAGCTTACTTTGATCTGGATTCAAAGGAGATTCTTCACAGTAGTTGTGCAGGAGCATCCGTGTGGATGCTTCTTCCACTGCTAGAACAGGGAGGGGGTTGAAGCTAAGCTCTGCTTTCAAAAGGGAGCAGTATAGCATGCTGCAGTGTGCCACCTCCTTTTAGCCCTTTAAATGACTTTTTTTTTTGCGTTCCCTGACAAGCTGGGTCATTTGGGAAAGTAAGGGGAAAAGGAGACTTTCTGGGCCACAGGGGCCTGGTGTGATTGCTGTTTCATTTGCATTTTTGCACAGATGCTACAGGTGGGACTGGCAGCAGCAAGCAGAGTGGCAACAGGTGAATATGGATGCCATTCCAGCACCTCAGAGTGGAGCTGCCATGGAGGGGAAATGTTTTCATGCCCCTGTGCAGAAGCAGCCAAGGATGTTAAAGATTAGCTTTGACATGGATTCAGAATACATATTTGAGCCACCACATCTTCAGTAATAGCATTTCAGTTATGCTAAATACTTCAGTTAACTGTTAAATGGTCACCATCACTAATCCCTTTCTGTGTCTTGTGAAAGATTATGGAAGTCAATCAGTGTCCTGCACTTGACAAAGCTAGTTCTTTCTTTTCTGTACTGTGGTACCCTCCCAACAAACAGCAGATTTGAAACAACCTGTAGTGGTAAGCCTCCATTATGATTCACACCCCAAAATCTATTATGAACTCACACCATTCCTTACTAGACATCAATGTACAAAAATATTTGACAGTGGGGGAACTATGCCAGCCAGTCACTGGGTTGTTCTGCCTATTCCACTGTAATTCCCAGCAGGAAACCTTACATCACCAACAAACCATGCACAGATTAAAGATGGAGCTTCAGATCTGGGTCCAGATGTGAAGAAGAAGAAGAAGAGGAGGAGGAAGAGGAAGAGGAGGAGGAAGAGGAGGAGGAGGAGGAGATTGGATTTATACCCCGCCCTTCACTACCCAAAGTTGTCTCAGAGCGGCTTACAAACTCTTTTCCCTTCCCCTCCCCACAACAGACACCCTGTGATAATTATTGCCATCTTTTCTTTACCAAACTCTAAAACCTTAGACATTTAAGACTCAGTCTCTGTTTCGGGTCACATTTAGCAGATGGTCATGTTTCATAATTCAGTTTAATTTCCACTCTCAGTTTTTTATAGCTTTATAAAACAGTAATGTAGCGATGGAAGGAAGCTGTTGATTGTCATTTTCTGAAAACAAACAGGTTAGCCAAAATATAAAAAGATTTCAACAGACAACATTTTTATGAACAGCTAACTTCCAGATTAGACTTGTTAACTCATTTTTTTTAAAAAATCACTGCTGATATACTTGGTGACAGAGAAAATAAACAGAATAAAATGTGTTGCAGCTGACTAAATTTTGTGTTTATTTTTAGGGGGCGGGGCTTTTGTATGCATTGTGATATGCAAGACAAAAAGCACAGAATGTGTCATGGTAAGTAACTGTCCATGTAACTGTCTTAATGCATAGGGATTAGGGATGGGCACAAACCTCGTCACAAACCTGATTTCATGATAGTTCACAAACCATGACCCAGGTGGTTCCGAGGTTCATGCCATCTCACCTTAATAGCCCTCCCATGACCCTCCACCTGGTTATCTGGGGGTTCATGCGGCTCATGGTGGGAAGTGGGGGGGGAGCGAGAGGGATTGCTGAAATGGCTTGCATCCATTTCAACCTTACAGCTGATGGGTGAACCAGCCCTGCTGTTAGGCTGAAATAGATGCAAGCCATTTCAGCTTACCATTGGAGCTGGTGTGCCCATCAGCTGTTAGGCTGAAAGAGATGCAAGCCTTTTTAGTGATCCCTCTCACTCCCCCCCACTTCCGAGCAGGGGGAGTGAAACAGATTGTTTTAATGATTTGCAGCCATTTAAACCTAACAGCTGGGTGGGTCCACCCATCAGCTGTTAGGTTTAAATGGCTGCAAGCCATTAAACCCCTCCATTTTGTTCCCCCCCCCTTCAAAGCAAGTGGAAGTGAAACAGACAGGTTAAATGACTCACACCTATTTAACCTTTCCCAGGCAATTCCCCCCTTTCTCCTGGCTGCAGCTTTCTGCGGCCGGGAGAGAGGCGACCCGAACTGGGCAGTTTGGGTATTTTTGCTCTCTTCGGAGTTCAGTTAGGGTACACCTCAAACTTGAATTTTCTGCTTCATGCCCGTCCCTAGTAGGGACTGGCTGTTTTAATCATAAACTCAGAAGACCAGGAATGTATAGTTGGTAATTATAAAGTGTTCTAAATATGCCATTTTGTTAACTGTTCTGAATATCTGGAAATGGTAAATGACTGAGACAATATACTGAACTGAATGGGCCATTGTTTGAATCCAGTGTGACTTTATATGTTCTTCATTGTATAAAAATACCCAACATGCTGCTATACTATATGCTGAAGCAACCTCAAAATCTTGTTAATAGTACCACTTTTTAATCAAGCCATTCTGGGCACTAGTGAACTCTCCACTATCGTCCATTGTGTAGGTTCCATTATTATAGCTGCAAGCAGAATTGTTCATTATTTCTAAACTGTGAGACAGGATCCCATTCCAGTTTAGTTGGTCTGTAACCAACAACTTGTTTCACATGAACCACTCAGCTGTTGCTATGTTGGTCATGACTTTCAAGCCATATACAGATAAGTGTTTGTAAAATAAATGTGGAATTGTGGATGAAATCCAGACATCTTTCTTCAAGATAGCACTTCTGTTGAGAAGAAACCACATAGTTTCAAGCTGAGAAAATGCAATCCCAACCCCCTCCTCCCCAGCAATAACTGCAGTAATGAATGCAAGTCATGGGCACATACTGGACAGTGTCTGAGCAGTGACTAGCGAATAGCAAAATAACTCCCTCCCCTTGCCTGTGCTGTTTTTTTTAAAAAGTATTTCATTTAAATTATTTATTTAAATTATTTGAACCATTCAAGTGAAAAATTGCTTATATGGCATACTTAAAAGCTAAACCACTGAAGACCTAATGGCCACATTTTTGTTAAATGTGGACCATCAGTGAACACTTACTGGAAAGCCCTTTATGCCAGGTTGACCTGCAGGGCCTGTAGCCCCTGGAATTCCAAGCTCTCCTTTTTCACCGTCTTCTCCAGAAAGTCCTTCATTTCCTACATTTCCCTAAAGCAAAGCATAAGCAACCATTATGTAGGAATTTGTTCCTTCTAAATCTCCCTTTCTTTAAGTGGACATTAATACAGTGATTCCCTAAGTGGCAGACTGAGACCTAGTAATACAATGTTTTACAACATGCTACTAAACATGGTTTTCCTCTGTTGTCTGTGCTTGTAATCTGGATACAAAATTCAAACTACAAAACATGAATTCAAAATTGGTTCTGTAGCTTTCTACCCTACATTAACAATGTTCACACATGCCTATAAAGAGCACAAAAAAGGCTCACTCATCATATCATGTGTAAAAACTCTTGAAATATTTTCCAGACCTGCAAAGTGAAGTTTCCACAATATTGGGAGGTTAGTGCAACATGAGCAATTATGATTGTATATGTTAAGGAAGGGCCAAATTACGCGTGATGTAATGAAGGGATTTGGCCTTTGGGAAAGGAGTTGGTCTCTTGCCTCTTGGGGAGATGGGAGGTTTGCTGCAATGCTTTGTCTCCTATTGTTGAATAAACTGTGCTTTAATTGTGAATCTGCCTCTGTGTTTACTGAGCTAAGAGGAACAGTGGGAATCTTTCCAGTAGTGAACAATCCGCCCTCTTGGAATGAGATCTGATCCTCCTCACTAAAACAGAGGCTGCTGTGTGGTTTGGTTTTAGTGAGTTCTCTTTGGGGTGCAGTGTTAACTGGTGGGACTACCTGCTGTAGGCCACCCCTACAAGGTAGAACAACTCCAAAGAGCACTCATACCCAAATTTCATCTAACACATAGGCAAGGGGAGTGTAACCCTCTCACTACTTGCAGAAATGAACTGGGCAGGGAGAAAAGTGCCAGAGGCACCTGGAGTGCAGAGAGGTAAGCTGGGGTATGTTTGATACTTTTGATCTATAAATCAGATTATGTACTGCCAATATGACTACCACAGGCATAAAACTGGTCTTCATTGTGCGTGCTTGGAAAAGGATTCTGAGAAGTATATCTGGATATCAGTTTCCTGTATTTTGACTGGGCAATGCTGCACACAACAGGGATCATGGAAAGGCAGATTTCCTCCTCAACATCCCTGTGGTCACTCTAAGAAGCTAGCCACTCAGAGCACTAGTCCCCCCTGGTCCTGATCACCTTTATGAACTAGCAAACAACACTGCAAGCTGAAACACAATGCAAACCTAGTATTTTGGAACCAAAAGTCTGAAAGAGCACTCCCAGTCCTCCACTGGCATCCATATGGAAGAACCCTGGGGGTGGATTTTGAACAAAGACAAATGTATGTGAATTGATACTAATGATCTAAAATTCAGAGAAGTCAATGTTGAAAATTAATTATAGGTAGCTTTAAAATGTTTTTCGTTTAGATCAAATTGCTATCATCCACATAAACTTTCCTCAGTTAGTGATTCATTTGCTTCCTTTGCACAGGGACATTATCTATTTGAATCCTTATGCTACTTTGTTACAAAATATACATGGAAGCTATGGTGCCAATTATAATAAAGCCTAAAGAAAACGTACAACAAAATATATTCTGCAGTATAATGAAGGATTGATGGTAACAGCTCTTTTGAGCAGGAATTGGTCTTTAGGACTTTTGACTCTGGTTTCTTACTGTGAGCAGTGTTCCCTCTAAGCTGAGTTAGTGTGAGCTATCTCACAGTTTTTTGCCTCTGGCTCACACATTTTTGTCTTGGCTCAGGAAGGATGACTCCAGAGCAAACTAATTTATGCAGTAGCCAAATTGCTCACTCACAACTTTAATGCCAGTAGCTCACAAAGCAGATTTTTTGCTCACAGGACTCCACACTTAGAGGGAACATTGACTGGGAGTACAGAATCCATTCTCCACCAACCCACAAAAAAATTGTAATGGAAAGGGTTTAATTGTGAAAATTGATAAATGTACCTTTGAGCCATCTTTCCCTTGGATGCCATCTTCCCCTGGGGGTCCAGGTGCACCCTATTTTTCAACAGAAATAAAAGCGAATGCTTGCACTTCCAAAAACTGTAATATAAAAATATCCAAAATGGGGGTACAACACTAAAAACTTGGCTAAAAAAAGGACGGGCTATGCAGAGAGAGAAGAAAGGTAGATCCACTGAGCAAATCTACCCAGAATAAACCCTACATGACTCCCCACATTGAGATTGGAGTGATGGAAACAGGTCAAATATCAGTTTTTGGAATTTCTGAAGATGAGCTTAAAACAAAAAACTGAAAAACTGAAATTTTTTTCAGGGCTACATCATGAGAAGAAGTATGTCTTAAAAGGGCATGTGTTAACTGGAATATAGTATATTCTTTTTTTCTTCTTTAAAACAATTTAGCATTCTAGATTAAATTTACATTGATGATACTCCACGCTGTTTTTATGTTTTCAAAGAAAGAACAGTCATAATCCCCCCACACACACAACATACCCTAGTGCAATATGAGGATTTCAAGCATTTTTACACTTGTAATTTGCAAGAGCTTCCTCCATGACAATTTTAAAACAATAACAAAACTGCACAACAGGCTTTGACAATGCCCTTTAACAGAAACAGAGGGTTGTAATGATTTATTGGTAGCAAGCACTACAAAGTTTCAGCATCCCTGCCATCTTAGTCCAATAGACTCAGACATATTGGCATGTGTCTTACCACTTCACTTAGTGGAGTTCTTCTGGTAGAAGAGCCCATTAAGTTGGAGGGAAACTCCTTCAACTGGAGGAGTGCTTCAAACATGTTAAGTGAAATGGGAAGATACATGCCATCATCATCACGAAGTCATTTCTAATGCTGAAGTCATTTCTAATTCCTAAGTCAGTGACATCTGCTTTAGAAAACAAATGGTCTGGGAACGCATAATCACTATATTCTTAAAACTGTTTAGGTATTTGAAAGGTACTTTTTTTTTTTAATAAAGATTTTATTGACTCTCCTAAAAAGGAGAGGTGTTTCGCTTAAATGGAAAAATAGGGAGGGTATATAGTGGGAGGAAGAGAAAGCTGAGTGATATATTAACTGGTAAATTAAACTGTTAGTAGTGTCCAATCAATCTTCTTGGGCTTCTTCTGTGAGCAGTCAAATTTCTTTTTTCAGTCCGGTTACAAATATTATCTATGTTAGTATGTTAGTAATGTTCCTTTGAATTTCTGTTAAAAAGCTTCTTCAGGGCGCCTTCAGAACCGCTTCTTTGCGTGCTGGTTTCTTTTACACTCCCGATAGCATGGAGGAGCTTCCTCTGTTTTCTTCTCCCTCCGGCTTTTTTTCCCCATCCTCCTTCGGGTCGCTGTTAACACTTTCAGTTCATATGCTATAAATCCTCTTTCTTTCCTGCCACTTCAGGAGAGCTCCAGCTTTGAGAATGGTATTTAATTCCGGTTTCGCTTTTATACGCTCCCAATCTCTCCGCTGGAACCTCTTCCGCAACTGTTGACTTTTAAAAGCTCTTAGAAGGCACTTTCTCACTTTTCTCTTTTCACAATTCCCCGTCAGATTCACAGCCATAAACAGTTCAAGCAGTAAACAGCCGGCTCTCACCCATAAGCAAATGCCCAGACCGGAAGTTCCTCCCTTCTTCTCCGCTTGTCTTTACCCAGCTCCGACATCTTGTTTTTTTGTTTACTTTTAATAAAGTTCTTAAAGCGCGCTCCAGAGAAACAAAACTTTTTCATGCTTCATTTCAAATACATCAAAGGAAATCACTACTATTCGCTCAGTCCATTCCCCCCCTTCCTTTACTTTCTCGTTTATGAAGTTAGAGGATCAACCTCCTCGTCTTTTTCGCTGGGGGGGGGAAGCGCTTTTAGTTCTTTTTCTCTGCATTTTGACAACTCACAGTTAAGCCGATCTTTTCTTTTTCCATTTTTTCGGATGATCGCTTTATCACTCGGTGACGTCTGGTGGCTCCGCTAAACCCCGTGCGGGGTCGCTCACGCAGCAAGGTCCATTTGGGGCAGGGCATGGCGGGAGCCTCGGTCTCCGACCTCTCGGCCGAAGTGGAGACTCCCCCCTAGTACGCCCTAAAGCGCCCCGGATCCGAGCTCCTCTCTTCCTGAGGGGCTCGTTCGGGTCTCCGCTCGTGCGGATTCCCTCCTCCACCGCGGGCGGGCGAGACGCCCTCGGGAGCGACCCGAGGATGCGTCCGCCATTCGCGGGAGCCAAACCGGAAGCCCGGTATTTGAAAGGTACTTTTGATTTTCAGAATTTTGGCCTCATAATGAGGGCAAAACAAATACATTATTGTCAATGGGAAAACTAAAACACTATGTGTATTTGTGTCAATAATAATTCTCAAAACAGTGAATGAGCTTTGGAATTCCACAGATCTCTTCTCTGGGCTAGTTGTTAATGGGAAAATTAAGAACAATATGTTCTTCTTCAGCTTGGATTGTATATCTAAGCCAGAGAAGAATCCATCCTTTTAAATCATTTTCTCTTTCTCCCTCTACCTCCTTATCACTCCAAACCCACATTGCCAGTGTGGCAGGCAGTGACAGGTAGCATTAGGCTGCCAACTATGGATTTGGGGAGCTCAGTGAATTTGTGATGCCAGAGAATATGTCCTCCAAAGCTGCCATTTCATCCAGGAGAATGGATCTCTGTAGTCTGGAGATCAGCTGTGATTTTGGGAGAACTCCAGGCCCCACCTGAACTGTCAGCAGGTAGGCAGGAGAACAGGTTTCTTTCTCTTCTTGTCTCCTCCCCCCAATGGGTTTTGAACAAAGTAGTGATGGTTCCACTTCTGTCTCTCCACTCACCATCCTTCTCCTCAGGGCTACATTTTCCAGGGTTTACCTGGTGCCTTGCATACTGGCAAAGAGCATTCAAGGAGTTGGGAAGGGCATGGAGATGTTTCTGTACAGCTGTTGTTGCCGAGGGTTAAAATGTTTCCCCCCAGAACGTTCATTTATAAAATTGATTTTGAAGGCTTTCATAGTACTTCAAGCTATACCTGGAAAATCAGAACAGGAAAGAAGAGAGGGGGAGAGAGACATTCCTAATGACCAGCTAGTCAGCTGGCCAACAGGCTGCTACCAGTACCACAGCCACATTGGGGGAAGTTGGGGAAGGGACTGATAATTTCAGAGGAAATATCAAGAGCCTGCTGAGTCTTTCTGAAACTTGGAATTGGGTTTGGAAAAATTAAGCAATTTGTTGATTTTGGGCAAAATAATTTGGTTTACCAAGTCCAGAACCTAGCTAGAGCCTCAAGGAGACTTATCCATTGCCCTTCCCTTATCTCTTTCACTGAAATGTCTGATCAGGCCTTTAAAGAATCACTTTATAGAGACAGAATTAAAAATCAGATCATTCTTGTTTGCAGTTATTTCAAACTATGTAGCAGGTCACATTAGTATGTCAGTGTAAGAAAACTACTAGTGTGATGTGAGAAATACATTAATCAATCATTAATGGTTCCTGTGAACTCATAGTCAACCACTCAGAGGATGCCTATTATATCTCTGCATAGTTTACAATACTGGCCTTCCTTCCTTCCTTCCTTCCTTCCTTCCTTCCTTCCTTCCTTCCAGTCAGTCAAATAAATAATTCTGCTATGTCTGCTTTGGCTGTTTTATTGTATAATTCAATCAATACCAATACAGAGATACAGTAGAATTACCTGTCATCACAGGAGGGTAGCCACTGTATTATTATTTTTTGTTTATATATTTATTTATTAAACTTATGAATTGCCCAATCCCTGCTACTGCAGGGTTCTGGGCAATATACAACATATAATTAAAACATTAAAACCATACAATAGATACATAAATAATACTGATACAGCAATTTAAAAAGAACAAGTGGAGAGAACTGCAATTTCTTCCCAGTTCTGGACTACAACCACCTCCTGGGTATGGGTAGGGGGAGTAAAGCAGTCTGATGGGGAGGAGAGTAGGAGGAGTAAGAGTATCATCATCCTCATCCTCATCATCATATCTTAATTGGTATATTGATTTTAATCTGAGCCCAATTCTAATAAATACAATAAATATATACCGATCAAAATTTAAAACAACAAACTAGTAGTAATAAAACTGATCAGATGGTGTTAGACAATTATGTATCCTCCCTTGGGGGTAGATGGGAAGGCCAGCCTCAGTGGTAAACCGTTGGTGTCCTCAACCATATGCCTGTCGGAACATCTCTGTCTTACAGGCCCTACGGGACCATTTTAAGTCCTGCAGGGTATGGATGTTGTTAGGCAGAGAGTTCCACCAGGGCCGAAAAAGTCCTGGCTCTGGTTGAGGACAGCGGGATATCCTTCGAGATAGAGATCACCAGGAGGTTCTTAACTCAAGCATAGTGCTCTTCGAAGGGGTATACTGAGAGAGGCGGTCCCTTAGATATGTGGTCCCAGACCGTTTAGGGCCTTAAAAGTCAGTACCAAAACTTTGAACCTGATCCGCTACTCAACTTGGAGCCAGTGCAAGGCAAAGCACTGGTCGAATATGTGCTATCGATGGGGTCCTGGTAAAAACCTGTGCCGCTGCATTCTGGACAAGTTGTAATTTCTGGATCAGACTCAAAGACAGCTCTGCATAGAGCGCATTACAGTAGTCTAGCCTGGAGGTGACTGTTGCGTGGTTAAGTCATGGTGAGACAGGAAGGGGGCTAGTTGTGTGATCTGGCACAGCTGGAGGAACGCCAGTCAAGCAACGTTTGTGACCTGGGCTTCCATGGATAGAGAGGCATCCAGGAACACACCTAGGCTCTTGGCGGTTGGTACTGGTGTTAGAGGTACACCATCAAGAGTTGGGAGTTGGCACCCCAGTCCCGTAGTCCCAGCCAGACAGTGTCGACCACCTAGTGCACCAGCAGACAACCTGCCACCAACCGCCTAGCGCACCAGCAGACAGCCTGTACCTCTGTATTCCTTCCAATGAAGATAAATGATAAGATTAATGATTCACACAGACACAAGAGGTCCTCTGAGAGAACTTAATTCTCTCTTTTAAACACATAAACATGAGTTTATTTACATATAAAACCAAATTTCACTCAGGAATAAGCTATGCCTCTGCTATCACACTCTCCTACTTACCCCTATCATAAACCCATTAATGTAAGTTTATTATACTATCCATAAACCATAATGAATAATATTTAAGGTTCTGTTAAGCATGCTCTGTAACTATTACTCACTCGTAAGCCTTGCTCTCCTGGTTCTCCTGGGTTGCCAGCAGGTCCACTGTCTCCCTGTAACATGCAACACATATATACAAAATCAAACTTGTAGACTGCAGGAGCAACAGCAGAAAGGATGATGATATCTGAAGTGACACCATCTCATGTTGTTGCAGTATTGTGAAGTAAACCCAACTAAACAAAACATTAATTTGGCTTTATGTTATTCTGTTTCATGCATGAATGTTGACAGTTTCAAAAAGCCATGTAATATTGGACATATAGCATTTTGGGGCATGGATACAATATGATGAACCTCTGTCCCAGACACTAGGCACACCCCAATGTCACAATAAACTCTGGTTTAAGCCTTAGTTTGAGCAGCAAACTCTGGTTAATTTATCAGATAAAAATAACAAATCCCAGTTTGTCTGATTTTTTATTCTCTTCCACCCTTCAAGAGGGAGAACATCTTCCCTTTATTGTTTTGTCTACCAGGTAGCCACGAGGAGTGGCACTGTTCAACTAACCGTGGGTTGGGAATTCAGACATTATGACTAACCACAATAAGTACAAACTGTGATTATCACACCAGATAGAAAATCCTAGTTTGAAATCTTGGTATAGTGCCAACCAACAAAATCAATTTATTAGACTATCAGCATTCAGACAACACAGCTAACTGGGGTTGGATTTAAACCATAGTTTATAAACTATAGTTTATCATGACATGAATGAAACCATAATTATTTAATAAAATGGTTAAACACCTACAAAAGCGGCAATGTCTATGACAATTCACAAACTAGAAGCTATTCTTTCTATAGGGATCTGATAACCCATAGCTTCAACCAGGTGAAGTAACCACTGCATATAAGCTTCAATTAAATATTTTCACACTACTTGAAGTGAAATCTTTTCCCACCATATAGACAAACTTGTGCATCATTGTGGGTTTCAAGGATGGCAAGATTAAGAAGTTCAAAGCCTTGATCTGGGGTACATTTGAAGACGAATCATAAAATAGCAGTACATTATAACAGCATGTATTACTATTTTCTGTCTTTTTTATAGTCCATTGTAGCAATGCTACCAAGACATGACAACTTTTAAAAAAGTGATTTGTGCTTCTGGCATGTATACCTAGTATGTGGGCCAGTTAAGTTCATATCAATAGCCAGCAACTGTGAGGTACTGGCCATTTCAAGACATAACTAATGTGCTTTGAAACATTAGGTGGGAGAGACAACTGTTCCTCCTTCTCAAATGGCACCCTTGAAACAAATTATTCCAACAATCACCTTTGCACCTGGTTCTCCTTGGGATCCTGACTCTCCCTCTGTGCCAGGTGGTCCCTGTATTGAAGATATAATTAAGATTATTCACTTTCACCACTAAATGAAAATCCAAATCACAGCATTTTAATTTTCATAACTATCCTCTTTGTTCCCTCAGAGCTCTAGGTGTGTAAGTAGGCATGCTCAAAACATACATGCTCATTTCAACAATGAAGCCAGACCTATGGCTATAATTAGACCTTATAATGAATGTTTTGTGTTTTGTAGACTGTGAGAGGCAGTTCTGGACCAACCAAGTTTTTGACAAATATGGCAAGTTTAGAAATAGGGTATGTATATTCAAAGTCAACATGCACTGGAAGATAGTAGACAAACACATTTACAAGCATTCTTGTAACTTTCTGGTCTTGATTAAAAAAAAATCAGATACTCACCTCAAAGCCCATTTCTCCTACAGGACCAGCATCACCTTGTTGCCCCCTTGGTCCCTAGTATTAAACAAAACCTTATGTATGTATGCCCGTTCAGTTATTTTTCATAGAAACTGGCAGCTCTGCTAAATGAATCAATTCATCAAGTGTTACACTTACTCCACAAGTGACTGTTGTATAAATAAATAAATGAAAACACTTATTTTAGCATTTTTAGACAATTGATACCTGTTCCATTAGCACATACTGGAACCTGTGAGTAATAAATTTCTTCTGTTAAATAATAAATTCTTCAGTCTATTGATTTCAGTAGTTCTCTCTGTGAAGAAATGCATTTTTCCTAGAAGGTTTGAGCTGAGCAGAACCTCCCCTCTGCATTTCAAAAGTTTTTTTCCTCTGAGCAGAGAACAGGCTGGAGGTGTGGGGGGGGGGAGGAGTTAGTGCAATTGCTTTCCAGCTTACCCCCATACAAATGCTAAATAGATTTGGGTGGGTTAAGTTCTCCCCCTTCCCTAAGCAGGAAACAGACAGTTGGAGGTGTTAAATGCGAGAGAGTCTTCAGGAAGGAGATTCCTGGAAATCGCCAGGAAAAGCCTCTTTACCCAGCGTGACAGGGTCAGTGGGTGGAGAAACAGATATGATATAAACTCCTTGCAGGAGGAAGGCATTCTCTTTTCCTTGGGTGCTGCGTCCATGAGAACACACAGACCTCTCTGCTGGGAAGGCAGCCATTTTGACCATATGCTAGCCTGGACAGCTGAAGGGAGCTTCAAGGTAATGGAAGTTGCTGAGATCTATAACTTCTTAAAGCTAAAAAGCCTGTCCTATATTTTAATATCTGATAGGGCATGTATAGATAGAGGGACAGAGGATTGCAATTTTACCCATTTCTTTTGTATCCCTTGCTCAAATCTGGGGCTGTGCTAAAAGAATGCTTATGAACATGTTCTTATTAATACATACTTTATAACTTCGATGCTGGTAGTGATTCTCTGTACCACACAGACCTCCACTGTCTTGGACACACTATTTTAAAAGGCGCACCAGGAGGGAGGAAGGCAATTGGCAAGCAGCTATTCCTCCAGGGGCGTGCAAGGCAGTAATCTGTCCCCGTGGTGACCAGGCACTGGGCAGCAGAAAATACAGAGGCAAGGCCTCAGAACTTGGAAGGGAAGCTGGGAGAGCACCTGACCCTCCAAGTAGGTGATTCCTTACAAAGGTCAGGTGGTGATGGTGGGCTACTGGAGAGAAAGAAAAGCCCCTCCAGGTGTTGAGAACCCCCTAGGAGGGCAGGGTGGAATAGACCCTGCAGGCCAGAGCAGGCTGGTTCCACCACACCCTCTGTCGTCACGGTCCAGAAACAAATTTTAATCTATATCATGTTCTCCTTTTGATTAATACAAACTTTGGTTGGATAAGATTTAATTATTTGTCTAGCTTGTTTTGTTGAACAGTCTACCGTGTACAATTAATTTAAGTGAAAATAACTAATGTATAAATAAAAACCCTGGTGGCATATTATGAACTGAAAGTTAAAAAAATTATCCCCTAAGGTACCTCTAGACAAAAGTGCCTCTTCACCAAAGAGCAAAAAATCCCAAACTCACCCTTGGCATCTCCTGTTCATAGATCACAGCTAAGTGTAAGACTTCTCTGCCTTTTATTTATTTATTTATGTATTTATTGATTTGATTTTTATCCCGCCCTCCCGCCGAAGCGGCTCAGGGCGGCTTACAACAATAAAACCTTTGTCCATTACAAGCCTCTGATAGTCAGCATAGACAATATTGAGCTAAATGTGCTGATTGGCTTGATCAACAGAGCACACCTTTACATGTTCATGTATCTGGAACAGCTAGATTCAAGTTCAGTAGCACCTTAGAAACCAATAAGATTTTCAAGGTATAAGCTTTGATTCTTATAAGTGTATACCCTGAAAATCTTGTTGGTCTCTAAGGTGCTATTAGACTTGAATCTAGCTGTTCTACTGCAGACTAGTATGGCAGTCCACTGAATGTATCTGGAAGCAATTCTCGGTTTACTCAGGATAGTTATCACAATGAAATGGGCTGCAGATTAGTGCATTTCTCACAATATAATGAATTTTACATGCAGTGATATTCTTGTGAGCTAATGTAATAAGCAATGAAATTATCAGAGTTAAACTCTGTATTTCAACAGATGCTTGTGCTGCATGGTGTTACACATTGAGGCCTATCTTGCCATCTGTCATTGCTGATTATTAAAAAATGTCATGGCAAATCTCTAAATTATGCACCCCTTTGTTTGGATTCTGCACCAAAAGTTTTCTCAAACTTAAATAAAGTCTATTTAAGTACATCTGCACTGTTTCACATAATTTATTATGCTTCTGTAATGATTTTAGAAAGGAATGGAGAAATGGGTAGTACACAATTATTCCCAAGCTGTCTCCTGAAGCTATTCAAGCTAGAAACTTCCTTGGTGTTATTAAACTGAATGTGAACTATCATGATGCACTGTAGGAGACTCTGTTCTTGTAGTGTTGTTGTGTGGTGATGTGGTATAGACACATAGTATATTCAGATGTCTCTGGGTACAAGACCCAGCCAAAGAGACTGAGTTCTGAGCTTGAACACTGGTTCAGGTTCAGAAGATTGTGAAAGTAAGCACATGTTCAAATTGTACCACTCTGATTTACGAATAAAACTTTCATCTAGCAAAATGCCTAATGTGATACTGCAAGGGACTTTTCAATCAGTCAGTTCATTTTAAATACAAACAATGGCTAATTCCAAGGAACAAACTATAAGAAGAAATCTATGTGGGACCATAATTGCCTTACAACACCTCCATGACATTCTTCTGCTTCAGTGGCATGAAGCTTAGGGCCTGAGCAAGGAGCCAAATATTTTCTCATACCATTCCCACAGAGCTCAAACAAGCTTGGCACATATACTTCTTTCTTATAACTACCACAGAAAACCAGTTCCCAAAGCTTGGTGAATAATATTGAGAGCTCTTCTAGTTATAATGATGACAAGAAATTACCAAAAGTATGAATAATGGTGTATGACATTCAAGTGAGAGCATGTCCTGTTTGAATTTCTATTTCATACTACTTGATGACATAAGGCTAAGTAGGACCTTCTTTCTGTATAAAGAAGCTTGCAACCAGAACTTCCAATATAGCTCTATTGAAGATTACTTTGAGCATCTCATCTATCTTTTGCAAGGATAAACCTTGAGCAAATGCTCTTTGCTTTTTGCACCCAAATGTGCAATTTCCCTATCAAAGCCACCTATAGTTTGCAACACAACGCAAAACTAAATGCAAACTTTATTTTTCAGGTTCCAGTGATATGTAATCTAGATAAACTCTAACTCAGATGGATTTGGTAAAGACAGGTAGTGATCCACACAGAAAATTATAGTGTTATTCAAGGTTAAACTGCATTTAAAAATGTGTGATGCAAGGCAAGGCTTCCTGGAAGCAGAGGTCATTTCGGGGGGGATCGCGGGGATCACAGTTCCCCCGGGTGAGGTGCGAGGGGGCGGGGGACATGACGAAGCCTCGCCCCTTGCTTCCGGCCGCCCCACTTCCAGCCCTCATTCAGCCAGGAGGAGGCAGGAGAAGAGGGAGGGTAAGTTGCTTCCTCCCCGCCTCTCCCCACCCCTGCCTGCCTGGGGCCAGGGAGGGCCTTGGCGGGGCTTCCTCGCACTCCCGCCGGCCTTGCAGGTCCACCGCCGGGCCCCTGATGTCAGGGGGTGTGGCATATGCTAATGAGTTATGCTAATGAGTTCCCCTAGCTCTTTTTCTATGAAACTACCCCTGCCTGGAAGGAATTCCAGAGGACTGTGTTTATATTAGCTATCCTTGTGAAAGCAAATTCCAAAGAACACCAAATGTTAACAGGGATAGTTTGAGTAGCTGCTGAGCTTTAAGAGTTTATGGGAGGAAGAATTTAGCAGAGCAGGTATGTCAGTTCCTTTAGCAATGTTGTGGCATCTGCTAAATTTCACCTTAACACATACCTGTTAAGGCAGGCTCACACAACTCACAGCCCTCTAAGCCAAACACAGCTTTCCAAATATATTCTGGCACACCAGAAATTTAATACACCTTTTCTTTTTGCTGCCAGCCACAAAGATGAACTGCTACTTTTTATAAGGAAGGCTGAACAGGACTCAATATGGACTGTAGTATCTTCCTGAATACATACTTAATTATAGGAAGTATTCCTAACTCTGTAAACCTGCAACTGAAACACAGCATGTGAGAGTACGGAAATCAACTTACTAGTTCGCCCACAGGACCTTTATCCCCCATGCTTCCAGGAGGACCAGGCAAACCCTGAAAACACAAACCCAAGACAAAGAAAAGCTGTTTTAATGTCCTTCAAAAACAATTCCCCCCCTTGGCTGTTAAATCAAAAACATTATTCTCAAAATCTCTTCACAACCATGCAAGATGTTTTCCCCCAAATATATTATTTGTGTGTGTGCTTGTGCCTCTCTGCACAATCAAAGAATAATCGTGTCAAATCAATGGCAATTGATTAATATTCTTTGGACAGTCTTAATTCAGGATGAATTAGGTGCCAGAAACAGAAGCAATGCAGTTAGGTATTTCTCAGTTTGGTATGCTATTTCTGTAATCCTCCTGTATGGGAAAATATGAAATACAGGATTGCAACATAATTTCCACTGTTAGCACTCTTTTCAGTTTTAAGATATGGCAATGGTAAATATTCTCTAATAAATGTTCCAGTGAAACAGTTACATAAATGCTACACAGGGAACTGTGTACAAATAGAAGATTTTCAGAGACTTGGAAATGTTATTATAGGACTCTCCAGGGAACAATGTTCTCAAGTAAAACAGGTTTTCATAGTGCTTCACATTGTCTTTTGGAAAAGCTAAACCAATCCTCATACCAACCTGCGGCCCATCCCAAACCAATCCTTCCAACCTGCGGCCCATCCCAAGGGTTGCTGGCGGTGGGGCCAGGATGGAGAACCCCCCTCCGTCATTGGTGCTGTGCAACGCCAGGTCTATTAACAATAAGACCACAGTCCTTCGGGACTTTGTGCTGGAACAGCGAGCTGACCTGGCGTGCATGACCGAGACCTGGGTGCGGGATGGGGAGACTGTGGCTCTCTCCCAGCTTGCCCCACCGGGGTTCTCGGTCCTTCACCAATCACGGACAAGGGGGCGGGGGGGAGGAGTGGCTATCTTCATTCGGGAGGCTTACTCTTTCAGGGCGCTCCCACCTGTGGAGATCACAGGCTTGGAGTGTGTTGGCTTGATGCTGGAGGCTGAGGAGAGTTTGGCGATCTGGCTGGTGTACCGACCGCCTAATGCACCGGCCAGTAGTCTGCCGTCCCTGCTGGAGGCCGTATCAGGCTGGGCGTTGGAGCACCCTAGACTGATTGTCTTGGGTGACTTCAACGTCCACGCTGAGGACGCGGCCTCTAGCCGGGCTACGGACCTGGTGTCGTCCATGGCGACGCTGGGACTCTCTCAGCTTGTCTCGGCTCCCACGCATCGGGCCG